TGAGGACCGCCGTGCCCCTTCCCCGTGCCCTTCTTTCTCCAGCCCGGCCCCACACCCACCCGCTGCCCCGGCCAAGTGTCGGTGCAAATCCTCTCGGACTCACTCTCTCCCGCCACCCCCGACCCCCTCCTTGTCGCTGCCCTTCTGCAGATCTCCGCGGGTTCCCTAGCGAAGATGCCTCGCCCGGGCAGAAACACTTACAGCGACCAGAAGCCTCCCTACTCCTACATCTCGCTGACCGCCATGGCGATCCAGAGCTCCCCGGAGAAGATGCTGCCCCTGAGCGAGATCTACAAGTTCATCATGGACCGCTTCCCATACTACCGGGAGAACACGCAGCGCTGGCAGAACTCCCTCCGCCACAACCTCTCCTTCAACGACTGCTTCATCAAGATCCCGCGCCGCCCCGACCAGCCGGGCAAGGGCAGCTTCTGGGCGCTGCACCCCAGCTGCGGGGACATGTTCGAGAACGGCAGCTTCCTGCGCCGCCGCAAGCGCTTCAAGGTGGTCAAGTCGGACCACCTAGCCCCCAGCAAGCCGGCGGACGCGGCGCAGTACCTGCAGCAGCAGGCGAAGCTGCGGCTCAGCGCCCTGGCGGCCACCGGCACCCACCTGCCCCAGATGTCCACGTACAACCTCGGCGTGTCCCAGCCCTCCAGCTTCAAGCACCCCTTCGCCATCGAGAACATCATCGCCAGAGAGTACAAGATGCCCGGCGGCCTCGCCTTTTCCACGATGCAGCCCGTGCCGGCCGCCTACCCCCTCCCCAACCAGTTGACTACGGTGGGCAGCTCCATTGGCACGGGCTGGCCCCACATGTACAGCTCCGGCATGATCGACACCGCCACCCCCATCTCCGTGGCCAGCAGCGAGTACGGCGCCTACGGCGTGCCCATTAAGCCGCTCTGCCATGGGGGGCAGACTTTGCCGGCCATCCCCGTCCCCATCAAGCCTACCCCCGCCGCGGTGCCGGCCCTGCCGGCCCTGCCCGCGCCCATCCCCACCATCCTCTCGAACTCGCCGCCCTCCCTCAGCCCCACGTCCTCGCAGACGGCCACCAGCCAAAGCAGCCCGGCCACCCCCAGCGAGACTCTCACCAGCCCGGCGCCCGCCCTGCACTCCGTGGCGGTGCACTGACCCGGGCCGCCCGCGCGGACTCCGCCGTCCCCCTTCTCCCGAAGTTTCCTCGGAGCTCTCCTCCCTCCCCTTCGCCCTCCTTCCGTCTCTTCCCTCCCTCCTCTCTCCTCTTTTCCTCGAAAGCAGAGACAACTCCCCGCGGGAAACTGAGGTTTGCCGTTCGCGCGAGCTGCCTTTCCGCTTCGCCCCTTCGCCTTCGCCCTCCTTGGCCTCTTCGGCTTCTTCCCCGGTTCCGAACTTGGTTTTCCGCCCTGCCGAGGCAAAACGAACCGACCCGGCCCGCCCCCCCTCCCCGCCCGGTAGGAACTGCCATATGCATCACTAGTTTGCCAAAAGTATTTCAGGCATCTTCGGTGCGCCGGGGACCCGGCAAGCCCGGCCCGGCGATGCCTCTTGCCCTTCCTTTGTCCGGGGAAGAGCAGGGGTTTGTATAGGACCGATCTTGAAAACCATAAGCAGTGCGAAACGGCTGCGGTCTCACTGCGTGAGAGCAGCGACGTTTCCAGCCTCCAAGCAGCAAACGCTTGGATCTTGGAAACGCCGGGCAGCGCCCGTCTCCTTTGTGTGGGTGTGGGTGCGTGTGCGTGTCCGCCCGCGCGTGTCCCGCCGGTACGCAAAGGGCAGGATTTCCGCGGGGCAAGGCCGCGGGCTCCGTCGCCCCCGAGAAGGAGCGGTGCGCTGGCAGCCAGGGCCCCGCAGGTAAGGGAGGCGGCGGGCGAGCGGGAGGGCGGCGGGCGGCCCTGCCCGGCCGCGGGCGGCC